CTGCCTAAGTTCACAGAATCGGCATTGCTGTCGGATGGTCATCTAGCCTCTGTTTAAAAACCTCCCAAGGAAGAGATACTTTCTAATGTCGAAGAGGTACTTACTAGCATTTTATATAACCCCACTCTGTGACATTTTGTGGTTGGTTCCACCTCCCACGGCAGCCATTTTGTGATTGTGCCCACAGTCCTGTGTCAGATCTTCTCTGACTGCCCCCCCCCCCGGCGGCAAGCCTAGTGAGATCCAACAAGTTCTTCTCTTTGCTCAAGTGGTTGCTGGTTAGAGTGTCACGCTAAGATCCGGGAGACTCAGGTTCAGATACTCCGCTCTGCCACGGAAGCTTGGGCCAGTCTCTCTTTCAGCTTAACTCACCCTACAGGGTTGTTGTGAGGATTAAATGGAGGAGAGGGGAGCACTGTTGTAAGCAGTCGGGTCCCCATTGGGGAGAGAAGCAGGGTAGAAATAAATAAACACAAATAAAGACATCTGAACAGAATGCAGGCAAAGGCTCTAGCCCCAGGCTTGTTTCTTGCTCCCCTGCCCCAGTTCTAATACCACCCGACCATCAGGTATGGTGGCTCACCTGGGGCTTAAGAAACTGGGTTTTGCTTCCACACAGGGACTGCAAACCTTAGGTAGTTGACAAGCGCTGGTAGTAGGGCTGCCAAGTCCCCCAGGAGGGCGGAGGTTCCCCTGCTCAAACGGTCCCCAATCCGCCGGTCAAGAAAAGGCCAGCGGTGGGAATCCCACCCCCAACGTGCCCGGTTCGGGCTGATGTGCCCGGCGCAATGACGTCATCTCGCATGTCGCCGACTGACGCTCTAGCAATCAGCCTGAAAACTCTATGGTACCATAGAGTTTCCAGGCTGATTGCTAGAGCGTCAGCCAGTGATGTGCCCAACGTGAGGACGTCACTTCCAGGTTATGTCATCACGATGCGCACGTGCTTGGCATACATGCAAAAGTCCTGGCCGGGGACCAACTCTCCCCCGCTTTTAAACGTAAGTCACTTGGTAATGCTAGCTGGTAGACCACAATGCATAGCTGATGGAGGGGTAGGGTTGCCAGATCCCCTGGTGGAGGCAGGGTCTGCCACCACCAGGCCCTGCTGGCCAGCCGCAGATCAGCTGGCCAGCAGGGGGACTTACCAGCAGAAAGAAGAAGGCCTAGGCTGCATTGCACAGGAAGTGATGTCATCACTCCAGTGACCTCTGGGTGACGTTCTGGTATTTGGGCAAACACTCTGTGGCAGAAGCCAGTTTTTACCATAGAGTTTTTTGCCCAAATACCAGAACGTCACCCAGAGGTCACTGGCAGTGTGATGTCACTTCCTGTGCGATGCCAGCAACAAGGACTGGGTCTTTCTCCTGGAGGGACCTGGAAACCCGGGGGGGGGGGAAGGATGTTCATTTCGGTAGGCAAAGTCCAGAAGGCCTGTGCTAGCAGGCATTTCTCCCCCGTCCCGGTCCCTCTCCAAGCCTGGCACATCACACGACTCCTTAGGGTTTCCAACCTCCAGGTGGAGCCTTGTGATCTCCAGGAATTAGCATCTGAGCCCCAGGTGACAGAGATCAGTTCCCCCGGAGGAAATGGCTGCTTTGGAAGGTGGACTCTATGGCCTTGTACCCCGCTGAGGTCCCTTCCACTCCCAAATCCTGCCCCGCCTAGGCTCCACTCCCCCCCACCCCAAATCTCCAGGAATTTTCCAACCCAGAGTCAGCAACCCTGTGCCTACTTGTACAAGCCAATACAAAGGACTGGACTATAAATGTCATTCTTTAAGGAGCCACAATGGACTCAGTTCCTCAGGCTAGCGAGAAAATTTATACAACCGGGGGTCGTTTCGTAGAAAAAGAGCTAGGGGAACTCATTAGCATAACTCATTAGCATATGCCACACCCCCTGACATCAGGGGCCCGGCGGTGGACCTGTAAGACCAGCGGGAGTGTGAGGAAGCCCCGCCAAGGCCCTCCCTGGCCCCAGGCAAGCAGGTGTGGGGAGAGGCGAGGAGGAAGCAACTTACCCTCCCTCTTCTCCTGCCTCCTCCTGGCTGAATGAGGGCTGGAAGCGGGGCGGCCGGAAGCAGGGGGCGGGGCTTCGTCATGTGCCCCCCCGCACCTCACCCGGGGGAACTGCGATCCCCCGCGTCCCCCCCCGAAATGACCTCTGTATACAACCCCCTCCTTGTTATGGGAAACAACGAGCCTCCCCCTGCCCAGTTCCCACCTGCATTGTTTTTCATTTCACTGGCCATGCACCTCCACTAATATGGCCCTAGATGTGCAAGTCTTCAGCAAATAAAGGATCACAGTCCGCATTAAAGCCTGTTCACCAGACGTCTGCCTGTGGCAGCCTCGCGGGGAGGAAGACTAGCTTGCGCCCGACTTCCACTCACTTTAGCCTGGGACGAACCAGGTGAGTTCATGAGAAGGGCTGCCAGCCCTAGATTTCCCGCTATTACAACTGATTTTCAGACGAGATCAGTTCCCCTGAGAAAATAGCTGCGTTGGAGGGTGGACTCTATGGCATTATATACCAATGAGGTCCCTCCCGTCCTCAAACCCCGCCTTCCCCAGGCTCCACCCCCTCCCAAATCTCCAGGTATTTCCAAACCCAGAGTGGGCACCGCTATTCATGAGGTTCCATGCAACTCAACCTGGTTTTTGTTCCGTCACTACTACCCCACACATCCTGGCTGAAATGTGTGGGAGTCAGAGCCATCAGCTTGGATTTTCTTGTCCCTGCTACAGGCGAAAATAGTTCCTAGAGTTAAGAAAGAAACAAAACAGAAAGGATTTTTGTGGCACTGTACAGGTGGCTCAAGTGGTTAAGACGCTGAACTGCAGGCTGTGGAAGGTCAGTAGTTCAGCGGTTCGAGACCCGGGTGCCGCATGATGGAGTGAGCTCCCGTCTCTAGTTCCAGCTCCTGCCAACCTAGCAGTTCAAAAGCAAGAAATTGCAAGTAGACAAATAGGTACCACTTCGGTGGGTAGGTAACAGCGTTCCGTGCACCTTGGTGTTTAGTCATGCCGGCCACATGACCACGGAAACGTCTTCAGACAGCGCTGGTTCTTCGGCTTTGAAATGGAGATGAGCACCGCAACCCTAGAGTCGGATTCGACTGGCTTTCGAGCAAGGGAACCTTTACCTTTTACAGGTCTTTGCCCACCCAAGCCAGTCCAGGGATGGGAGGGAATCCAGTGCTTTTCAGTACATTAACAACAAGCCACGAGACAGTCTGTACCATCTCTGGTCTTCGCAACAATTTGCCACCAGAACCTCTTTTCACTAGTCCCCGCCTTGAATGTTTTTTGCGGCTTTCGTGGGCCACCGTCCATTTTATCGTCTAGCCCAGAAAAGTACATGCAGCACAATACATCTGTCAGATGCCGCAAGACCCCTTTGGTTTTTCACTGCAAGCGATTAACATGGCTACCCCACTAGAGCTGAGAAAAAGACCCAAGTGACACACTGTCTGAACTTCTGGAACTAAACAGAAAGCCGCCATCAGCAGTGATGTTCACAGGCTGCACGAGGGCATAGGAATGGGTTGCTCTGTGCCTGCATCTCTATGGTATAAGTCCCATTTATCTGGGCAAACCAAGCCACAACAGCTTTCAGTGTAATGTTAGGTCAATCACGGGGCTATCCACTGCACTAATGGTAAGGATATGCCCTCCAATTTGGCTGTAAAGGTGAAGGACCTCAAACACACACCTTGACACAAATTCCTTATTAAGCTTATAGCAATGCAGTTGGATTACACGCATCACACTTTCCTCTTTTGTTATCTATTCTTCTTGCAGTGATGCTTTTAGTTACGTAAACAGCTCTGGGAAATTAGAAAATAGATTATTTTTTATTAATAGAAAAATAGTCTTCAAAAATACATTGGGCTTGTATTAAAGTCGACTTTTATATTATGTACAATAAGGCCATATATGAAATTGAATCCTGCTTTTAGACTGTTCCTTTCAGTATAGAAATGAGCTAGATTCTCTCTCCTCCACATGCTGGAATCTTAAAACCACTTACTTCTAAGTAATCCCACTGGTGCCAGTGGGGTTCATTTGAAATTTGTAGCTTAAGGAGCCTACATAGCAAAGAGGATGTACAATAATTTATCACACTACAATGAAAACAGGAAAACGTGTATAGAAATTTTACTTCCCGGTATGGAATGCTTTCAATATATTAATCTTTATATATATATCTATATATTCTGTATATATATCAGTTCTTTCAACATCCATAAAACTAGGCTTTCTTTGAGGGGGGAAAATCCCTAGAAAAATATAATAGAAATAAACGACGAGCTTTTAAAATATGTTTAAAAATATATTGCAGACCATGAAAAAAAAAAAATGCCATTGTTTTCACCAGTGCCATGTCAAAGAAACAGTGTGAATAACAATGGGGAAATCATGCAGTTTGTTACCGTTGTGTTTTCCTGTTAAGGGTTTCTTGTATGTTGGCTAGTTTTATTCAAGAAACAACAGAAATGTGTGGTTCGTGCGTGGACAGCCCATGGCAAACCTGCCACAAGAGACCGGGGCTGCAGGGGCCGTGGCTTTGCTGAGCTGAGTATGGTTGCAGAGTGGGACCTCTGCTACTGCCTGCTGTGACCAGCTCCATGGCTCCCTGTAGCCCCCCTTGTGTGCTGATTTGGTTGCACATGTATTGTCTAAGAACCATAGAATGTTAGAGCTGGAAGGGACCTTGCAGGTCATCTAGTCCAACTCCCTGCACTCTGCAGGAGCATCCACATTGTAGTGGTCACTGTCACGTATTTAATATTTGCATGATGACACACGTGCCAGGTCACTGGGGCGGGTCCAGAACCTGGCCACACTTTCTGTAGCGCTTTCTAAAATCCACCGCCACCTCTGAACGAGCAACACTTTATACAGGATTTACAACGCACAGATCCTTCTTAATAATACGTCTATTAGAAATGGGTGTTTTTCTTTTTTCTTTTTAGAAAACTATACCATGTGCTTTTTGTTTGCTGTAAATTCATCCCCCCCCCCTGAAATCCCTCTACAAAATCTCAGCTAGAAAAATAATAACAATAATAATAATTCGATCTGCAATCAGCTATCAGCGGGTCTCTAACTGACTGGAATATAAAGCGTACAAAGGTGTGACAGCTACAACTGAGCTAAATTCAGATATCTGAGCAATTTTGTGTCAACAGAATTTATTTTACTTGTAGTGTTGTTACCTGAAGAAGGACACTGCACCTTTCAACTAAGTAAAGGAGCGCATAAAATTATTTGGGTCCATGTAGTCTAACTCAGCAGTCTGTACTTTGCAGGCATGTGGAGCCGGGAGACCATAGCTCATATCTTTCTCAGCCGGACTTGGTTGGCAGCTCCAGTAGGGTTCCATTAGTGGTTCCTGATAGGAAGGCGAAGCCTCCACTTTGGGATCTGGCATTAACACTAGAATGTGGTTGGCTACAACGGTGGAGACCTTGGTGTATTCCTTGGGATCTCCGGGGGGTGGACTGCTATCAGTTTTTTTACCATTTCCTTTCTGCTTTGGTATTACAGCCAAAGCTCCATTGTGATTGACTTTGTGGACTTCGACATAATCCATTGATTTTGTGGGCAAAAAAGGCAACCCCGCCGTCAGAAGGGACCACGGTGACCCTGGGTCACCCTGAACATTTAAAGGTAATTTTTCTGCCTCCCGCAATGTGGTGGTTTTGCCTTCGCTGATGGTTTTAGGACATTCCGAATCACATTGTTCTTTGTTCCCCATCGGAATGGACGACCTGTTCAGGTGCATGGCGCTGAGGGCTATTTTGCAGGCATCCACAATATCATGATAGGAACACTTACGGAATGGACTACTGGCTAGCTGAGATCCGGGCCATGTGGATGCCTTCGGACCACCACTGCTCAAAAGGGGGAACTTTCCTTCCAGGTCTACGGCCGGAGCTTCCCCAGCGCATTTCAGCTCGTTGGTATCTGATGATTTCAGATCCAAGAGCAGATTCCCAGCCTCCTTGCTCTTCTCCAACAGCAGAGAAGGGCTCTCACAGCTTCCTCTCCCCGAGTCATTGTCTGTTTCCTTGTGCGCCAACTTTGCAGTTTTATTGGGATGACTCTTCTCGTCGCTCGGCATCAGTTCCTGGTCTTCGCTGTCCACCACCAGCCATTTCTCCAACTCGTTGCTAGAGTCGGACGTCAGAGGGAAAACCGGGCAACCGAGAGCGCTTAGGACATCGTCCGCTTTCCCCGCCTGGTGGTGTGACAAAGCAAACACAGACGTTGGAAAGATGCAAACGATAGCTTATAATGCTTGCGTTACACCCCTGATGGCATTTGAAAGTCGCAGAAGGGTGCGTGTGGGTAAGCTCACAATAAACATTTAAAATACAGAATTAAGTCACAGCAGAACAGACAGCATATATAAAAGAACATAGAAAAGTGATAGGAGCCTAGGTGGAGTTACCATCTTCTAAAACTATGGGCTGAGAAGGCAATTAATTCTGCTTAGAAACATCAGCTAGCAATTCTCAGACAGCCCTTCTACAACACAATGTTCTTAACTACTCTTCTAAAACTTTAAGGGTTACCTGCTTGGCAGGCTTCTCAGGGCAGATGGCAAGGGAAGTTCACAAAGAAGGCGCCACAACTGAAAAGGCCCTGCACCTTACAGCCATCAGGCTAATTCGATGGAAGTGGCATGGCACCTCCCGCATGCAAACCAAGTGCCCTGCCATTTAGCTGTTTGGTGTAGCGGTTAAGAGCAGCAGACTCTAATTTGGAGAACTGGGTTTGATTCCCCACTCCTCCTCCAAATGCAGCCAGCTGGGTGACATTGAGCCACTCATAGTTCTCTCAGAGCTGTTCTCTCAAAAGCAGTTCTCAAAAGAGCTCTCTCAGTCCCACCCACCACACAGGGTGTCTGTTGTGGGGAGGGGAAGGGAAGGAGATTGTAAGCCGCTCTGAGACTCCGAGTGAAGGGCAGGGTATAAATCCAATCTCTTCTTCTTCTATCAATATTATAGTATAATATAAATCTATCTGTAGTGGGAATGGGCATGAACGGAACCAGGAAGCAAAATTCATCACCAATTTCTCTCAGAGCTGTTCTCTCAAAAGCAGTTCTCAAAAGAGCTCTCTCAGTCCCACCCACCACACAGGGTGTCTGTTGTGGGGAGGGGAAGGGAAGGAGATTGTAAGCCGCTCTGAGACTCTGAGTGAAGGGCGGGGTATAAATCCTTCTTCTTCTTCCCCCTTGGGGCCATTGCCTCTCAGGGAAAACAGTGTGTGGGGGCAGGAGACCCTCCTTCCCCAGTGCCACAATCTCAAGCCAAATCAGGCCCCCACAGACTTTTAAAACAACGTTCCCTGAAGGTGATTTGCAGCTGTGTGAAAAGTGAGTTAGGTCCAGAACCTGACTCATTTTTAAAAAAGTTATCATGTAATTTGGCCTTCAGTGTCACACATGTCAGGACAGAATCACACATGGTGCTGGCGATCTCATTGGATACCCTAGATGTGCACTTTAGCTCCAGAAAGCAACTACAAGGGGTCACGATGCTGGCGAGGGTCATGGCACTGCAGAGGGGATCACACTGTCTATCAGATTGGAAATGGCCACTCACAGGTAGCTTTATGCTGTGGAAGAGCAAATCGAGGCACCTGTCCTCCCTCCCACCCTCCAAATTAAAGCAGCTGGGAGGGATTTCCAAGTATTGAAACAGGGTAAAGGGAAGAATTAATCCCTCTGTTTGCAGCACTGTGGGCCTGATTTATATTGGAGAGACCCCCCCCCCCCCCCGCCTGGTAATCGCTTCTGCTGCTCATTTACATACCTAGGGAGCTGCACCCGGATCATCATTCATGCATTGCTTGGCACTCAGGGCTGGAAAACCTTCCTCTTCCTAGGACCTTGGAGAGCTACTTCTCATTTATATACGTACCCATGCTACGTATATAGCAGACTCATGTGTTATTGTGTTTTAATTTTAACTTGGGTGTAATTTGCAATAGTCAATGTTGTCTGAGATTAGAAGTGTTTTTATGGGGGGTGTGTGTGTGAAGTGCTGTCAAGTCACAGCTGACAGGGCAACCCCACAGGATTTTCAAGGCAAGAGACAAACAAAGGTGGTTTGCCATTGCCTGCCTCTGTACAGTGACCCTGGAATTCCTTGGTGGTCTCCCATCCAAGTAGTAACCAGGGCCGACCCTGCTTAGCTTCCAAGATCTGATGAGACTGAGCTAGCCTGGGCCATTCAGACCAGGGCTTAATGTTTCTAATCAGGTGTTAATTAAAATGTGATGTACAAAATGCAAGCCAGTGAATCTTCACACACACACACACACACACACACACACACACCCGGGTGAGCATCTGAACGCATACCTTTAACAGATGGACATCAAAGCCGGGTATCTTTGGTCCTGGGACTGGTGGGAGGATACAGGCAACCATGCTGGAAAAAAAAGAAGTGAAAATACTGAGGCAGGGAAAAAAATGGGATTGCCTGTTTAGTTGACCCGAATGCCAAAAATAAAAGGAACGAGGCAGACAACTCCCCCCCCCGATTGTCTAGCAAACTTGTCAGACTAAGGAACTGGCCCTCATGAGATGATCACCCTTCTCTGGCCTTGGCCAGCTGTGCATTTTCTGGCCTATAATCTAAAGTGATTACCTTATTTTAAGTGAGTGGGAGGATGAATTGGAATGGGGGTAAGAATTTCGGGCAGGCGGTGGCCCATTAGAAAAAGGGAACAGGCCTGTACACCCCAAGAATGTTTCCCCTCCTGCTCTTCCTTCATATATTTGACAAACAAACAAAACAAGACTCTTATTTTTTAAGACATAGCCAAGATGCTTGTTTACATGTTGAGCAGCAATGAAGGAACCAGAAAAGATTCTTAAGCATAAGGATGTGTCACTGGCGACCAAGATCATTCATACCGCAGTATTTCCCATTACTATTTATAGGTTAGAAAGTTGAACAATTAAGAAAACTGACAGGAAAAAAGTTGATTCATTTGAAATGTGGTGTTGGAGGAGAGTTTTACGGATACCGTGGACCCCCCAAAAGACAAATCAGTGGGTTCTAGATCAAACCAAGCTAGAACTCTCCTTGGAAGTTAAAATGACTAAACTGAGGCTATCGTAATTTGGTCACAGGGTCACGGGAAAAGACAATAATGCCAGGAAAAGTCAAAGGCAACAGGAAAAGTGAAAGACCCATTTTGAGATGGACTGACTCAATCAAGGAAGCCACAAAGGCCCTCCGTTTGCAAGACCTGAGCAAGGCTGTTAATGACAGGACATTTTGGAGGTCATTAATTCATAGGGTCACTCTAAGTGACCAGAAGCGATTTGATGGCACTTAACATGCACAAGTTGAAAATCAGCCACTTACTTAAATCTTTTCAAGGCCATTGTCCAGATCATGATCAAACATATGACAAATGATAAAAAGGCAACAAAGATCCAAACAATTATGTCCTTCAGCTTGAACTCTAGAAAAGAAAGCAGGAAAGTCATTTCATATGAATTACCTCAGGGCAACATATTCAGGCATATACAAGGACCACCTCCTGAACTCACAAACCGAATGAACCAGAAACCAGTTTGAAAACAGAGAAGTTCGTGGAAGTTCGTGATTCATGGCTCGTTTAATCAAATTAACCACGAACCCCAACAAACTTCCATTTCCCCAGTTCGTGCCCATCCCTAGTACCTATAAACCCCCAACATTCATTTTAAAAGTTCTGTAGCCCCTTTCACTGCAGAGATATAACAGAAAAGGCAGATCTCCCCAAATAAAGGGCTAAATGAAATATTAAAATTAAAGATTGGAATTCAGAGAACTAGGAAACAGATTGTTCTAACTTTGGTGTCAGGGAAGGCAAATGGCCACTGCAGGGATCTGTGGCAGAAAAAGTGGTGACAGTGGGACGGGGAAGACTCGGAATTTTACATCCTCCTGGATGCTACCCCAAGCTTTGCTACCACCTTTCCCAAAGCATTACAGCAAAGCAAGTTTGGGAGAAATTGCAGGAAAGACATAGAAAACGTGAGAGGTGCACAGAAGCATCACAACGCTATGGGGTCATGAGGAACACCCCCCTCCCCCACTTCCTGATGGCATCTAGTCTGGGTATAAGTGACGCTTTACCAAGGTCCCCAAAGTCACATGGATCTTCATTTTTTCCTGCAAAATATTCTGACCTTTCGATGACCTCTGTGTCTTTCTGCTATTCCCACTCTTGTGTTTTCTTTAACACTTTTCAGATACAGTTAGTGACCAAACCTAGAAACCGAGACCAAACCCTGATTGGAATGGGGAGAAGGAGCAAGCGGTGGAGCTCACCAACAGGGCCTGAGCTAAAAGCCCTCAGGGACTTGTTGGTGGTTCTGTGCAACTGGTGCTAATTCATAAAGAGCTGGTCAATCACCACTCACCTTTCGGGACCTGAAAGTGGCTTTCAGAACTCCACTGACTCCATTCTCCGCGGTCTGATCGGCAGCGAACTTGTGCAACGTACTTTATGCCTGGATTTAATCTAAACAGCTGATATTTCGTTCCCAGCCCAACAAATATATTCTGGAAAGGGATCAAGAATGGAAAACTATAAAAATGTGGGGCACTTAAATGGCATAGCAACAACAGCCAATACTGATGATTTGAATTATAAAGGAGACAAATTCATAGATCTCTTTGTTTCCTGCCCCCACCTCATCCCCATGTAGAGGAAGATATTTATTTATTTACATCCTTTCCATCCCACCTTTCTCCCCAGTGGGGACCCATAGTAGCTTACATCCTTCTCTTCTCCTCCATTATATCTTTGCAACAGCCCTGTGAGGTTGGCTAGGCTGAGAGTATGGAACTGGCCCAAGGTGACTCATCCAGCTTCCAAGGAAGAGTAAGGATTCGAACCTGGGTCATCCAGGTCCTAGTCCCACACTGTACAATGCATATACACCACCAGTGCTTCTTTTGTAAACAAAAGGGTACTGGTACTCCTATGTAAAGGAGCTGCAGTGGCTCAAGTGGTTAAGACGCTGAACTGCAGGCTGTGGAAGGTCAGTAGTTCAGCAGTTCGAGACCCGGGTGCCGCATGATGGAGTGAGCTCCCATCTCTAGTTCCAGCTCCTTCCAACCTAGCAGTTCGAAAGCAAGAAATTGCAAGTAGATAAATAGGTACCGCTTCAGTGGGAAGGTAACAGCGTTCCGTGCGCCTTGGCGTTTAGTCATGCCGGCCACATGACCACGGAAACGTCTTCGGACAGCGCTGGCTCTTCGGCTTGGAAACAGAGATGAGCACCGCAACCCTAGAGTCGGACTCGACCGGCTTTCGAGCCAGGGAACCTTTACCTTTACCTTTTTTAACTCCTATATAAGGTTGTGCCAATTTATACCAAACCCCCCCCCCCCGACTTGGGAGAGAACCCTGAAAAAAGGTGCTGGTACTCAATATGGGTGAGTGCTGTCACAAAAAAGCCCTGTACACCCCTAGGCTTCTGTCTCATCATTCCAGGTGGAGGTGGAAAGTGCCATCAAGTCACAGCCGACTTATGGTGACCCCAGAGGGTTTTCAAGGAAAGAGACCAAAGACTCCTGCGTAAACTTAGCGGTAATGGGATAAGAGGACGGGTTCTCTCATAAATTAAAAACTGGTTAAATGACAGGAAGCAAAGAGTAGGAACCGATGGGCAGTTCTCACAGTGGAGGGAAGTAAGCAGTGGGGGCCCACAAGGATCGGTACTGGAGCCGTGACCGGTGTTCCCTCCAGGCTGAGTTAGTGTGAGCTGGCTCACAGGGTTTTTAGAAGAAGAAGAGGAGATTGGATTTATACCCCGCCCTTCACTCGGAGTCTCAGAGCGGCTTACAAACTCCTTTCCCTTCCCCTCCCCTCCCCTGTGAGGTAGGTGGGGCTGAGGGAGCTCTGACAGAAACTGCTCTTTTTCAAGGACAGCTCTGACAGAACTATGGCTTGCCCAAGGTCATCCAGCAGGTGCAAGTGGAGGGGTGGGGAATCAAACCCGGCTCTCCCAGGTTAGAGTCTGCGCACTTAACCACTACACCAAACTGGCTCTCTTTTTAGCCTCTGGCTCACAGATTTTTTTGTCTTCGCTCAGGAAGGAATGGCTCCAGAGCAAACTAATTTATGCAGCCGCCAAATCGCTCGCTCACAACTTTAATGCCAGTAGCTCACAAAGTCGATTTTTTGCTTTCAAGACTCCAGAGTTTAGAGGAAGCACTGGCCATTACTATTTAATTTATTTATGAATGATCTGGAACTAGGAGTGAGTTGTGTAGTGGCCAACTTTGCAGATGACGGTGAAAACCAAGGTTGACTGTGAAGAGCTCCAAGAGGACCTCCATAAACTGGGTGAGTGGGCGACAGTGTGGCAAATGAAGTTCAATGTTGGTAAGTGATGCACATTGGGAGGAAAAAACATCCCAACTTCAAGTATAGGCTAATGGGGTCTGAACTTGCTGAGGCTGAGAGGGGAAAAGGTCTTGGAGTCGTAGTAGATATTTCAGTGAAAGTGTTGACCCAGTATGCTGCAGCGGTGAAAAAGGCAAACTCCATGTTGGGGATGATTAGGAAAGGGACTGAGAATAAAAAGGCCGATATTGTAATGCCCCTGTACAGATCTATGGCGTGGCCTCATTTTGGAATACTGTATACAATGCTGGTCACCGTATCGAAAAAAGGACATTGCAGCGATGGAAAAAGTAAAGAGGAGGGCAACCAAGATGATTTGGGGGCTGGAGAACATTCCCTGTGAGGAGAGCCTGAAGAGTCTGGGACTTTTCAGTTTAGAAAAGAGACAACTAACAAGGGACATGATAGAGGTTTATAAAATTATGCATGGGGTAGAGAGAGTTGACATAGAAAACTTTTTCTCCCTATCCTAAAATACTAGAACTCAACAGCATCCAATGAAGCTGATGGGCAGGAGGTTCAGGACGGACAAAAGGAAATACCACTTTATACAGAGAGTGATTAAAATGCTGCCAGATGATGTTGTGATGGCCACAGGAATCAACCGCTTGAAAAGGGGATTAGATAGATTCATGGAGGATAAGTCTATCGATGGCTACTAGCCATGGTGACTGAGGGGGACCTCCACATTCAGAGGCAATAAACCTTTGGATCACAGAGCCAGGAGGCAACATCAGGGGAAGACCTCGGCTTCTATGCCCTATTGTTGGCTGTCCAGAGGAACTGGTTGGCCACTGTGTAAGACAGGATGCTGGATTAGATGGACCACTGGTCTGATCCAACAGGGTTCTTCTTATGTTCTTATGAATGTTCAGATCTGGTTTGCCATTGCCTGCCTATGCATTGCAACTTTGGTATTCCTTGGTGGTCTCCCACCCAAATACTTAGGATTTTTAAAAATTGTGATCCTGATAAGTAGAGAAGACGTAAGATGTTGGTATTTATGTGGGAGGTTGGAGCAGGTTATAGTTTGTCTAACACAAATGTACCCTGCGTTGTGATTAGGGTGCCTTGTGAGAGTCTTTCTCTAGGCACACCGACTCTGAAGGTGAACAATTCTGTCAAGCCTATCCCACCTGCTGAAGAAAGGGGGGGGGCGCAATTACGCATCCCCAAAGAAGCTGACTCAAAGGAGGTAAAACCAAAGCAGTGAGTCACCCAGGGATGCAACGGGCAGTCCTCCTGTGGCATACAGTTGAGGAATTACTGATACAACATTCACTTCGTGTCGTTTTAAACAATGTAAAATCGACAGATCACAATCTTAAAAATGAAAGCAGACGATAGAATCGTAGAATCACGGAGTTGCAAGGGGCCCTACAGACCATCTAGTCCAACCCCCTGCCCAATGCAGAACCAGCTTAAAGCATCCCTGACAAATATTCATCCAGTCTCTTCTTGAGAGCTGTCAGTGAAGGGGAGCTCACCACCTCCCTAGGCAGCTGATTCTACCTTTGAACCACTCTGACCGTGAAAAAGTGTTTCCTAATATCCAGTCGATACCTTTCTGCATGTAATTTAAACCCATTGCTTCGGGTCCTCTCCTCTGCTGCCAACTGGAACAGCTCCTTGCCCTCCTCCAAATGACAGCCTTTCAAATTTTTAAAGAAAGCGATCATGTCCCCCTCAATCTTCTCTTCTCCAAACTAAACATTCCCAGGGCCCTTAGTCTTTCCTTGTAGGGCTCAGGCAATGAAATGCCTGCCCTGACCTTGGTGGCCTAGGCTAGCCGAAACTTGTCAGATCTCAGAAGCTAAGGTGGGTAACTTGGCCATGGTTAGTTTTTGCATGGGAGACCACCAGGGAAGTCCAGGGTTGCTACGTAGAGGCAGGCAATGGCAAAACCACCTCTGTTCATCTCTTGTCTTGAAAACCCTACGGGGTCGCCGTAAGTTGGTTGTGACTTGACGGCACTTTCCACCACTATGACATGTCTCTTTGATGCATCACCAAACATGTTTTAAGAGTTCAGAAGCTATCCTCCATATTTAGCTACACTGAGCAACATAAACAATAAATGTTTGTCTCTTAAGTCTAAAAGGTATATTGTTTTGTGATGCACCGCAAGTTGCCGTGAGGTCCCTTTTTCAGGTTGTGAACGCAGGACAAAAATGTAAGAATTATTATATGAATATTATTAGATGAAAGTTAAATTCTTTCTCCAGACCCAATGGGGGATCTGCTTAATGTTACAGAACTGTTGAGGCTAACCTGCCACTGGACCCAATCAGAACCCTGCACAGGAGACCAGCGGAAAGTCCACTTAGAAGCAGGATGTAACAGATAAAATGTTTTCCAGAAATCAATGATCTCTTATACAATGTTAAAAAAAAAAAGGCTTGGCAAATGTCATTTCTACAACGGCCATGCTTTGTGACACAATCTCTGTTCGAAACACAGAACATCTGCCTTCCGAAAACTTGCATTTTTCTTACATCCCACTCTGGTTCTTCTTTCGGCCTTATACGCAGCTCGTACTCAAGCGTCAACCAGCCAGATCTCACATCTGCCCGTGGCGGTGGAACCCACTTCAGCAGCAGATAGCTTGCATAGGCTTGACCCACCCATTCTAGAGTCAGGTTTACTGGAGGGTTTGGCTCAACTGAAAATAAAGGAAGGATCAAAGATTCACACTCTTCAGTATTTCACACATGAAAGCAGAGAGGCCCGTGAAAGGCTTCGGTTGTCAAGGTAAGCGTTCCCTTCCCCAGTATGATTGCATGTAGCTGAAGGTTCTTCTCTTCTTTCTGTATGTTGTTGTAATTTGCTCTGCAAAAGACTGTATGCTGCACTGGCATCTAAAAAGCAGAGCGGCTCCTCCAGGAAGCTCTTGTTGCAGCTGCAAATGCAGTATCATTCAGAGTGGCAGCGGAAGGAGGAGGAGGAGGAAGAGGAGGAGATTGGATTTATACCCCACCCTTCACTCGGAGTCTCAGAGTGGCTTACAATCTCCTTTCCCTTCCCCTCTCCACAACAGACACCCTGTGAGGTAGGTGGGCCTGAGAGAGCTCTGAGAGAAACTGCTCTTGAGAGAACAGCTCTTAAAGAACTTGTGACTGACCCAAGGTCACACCAGCAGGTTAGAGTCTGCGCTCTTAACCGCTACACCAAACTGGCATCCACACAGGAGGTTTCCACACCCTTTCCTTGTCCTTGTCTCAGCCCTTCATGGCTGCCATTTCCGCTCACTCACTACCACCCTTGTTTGGTTGTTTTTTTAAATGCTAACCACTAGATTGCTATAGCATTATAACAATCTATTGGAACAGATTACTAGCTCCAAACTTACTTTATTTTCAGTCTCTAGCCCTTTCCCACACATACTTCTAAGAAGAAATGTAATCTTCGAAGCTGAAGATTACATTGAGACCTCCCACCCCTTTTGAAAGTTCTGGACAAGCAAAAATCACACGTGAGTGTCATGGAACCCCTGGGCCACCATAGATGACAGTGGGCAGTGGTATGGAAGCCTCACAGAATACCCTTAAGAACATATTTTATCAGAAGAAGAGATTGGATTTATACCCCGCCCTTCACATGGAGTCTCAGAGCGGTTTACAATCTCCCTTCCCCTCCCCACAACAGACACCCTGTGAGGTAAGTGGGGCTAAGAGAGCTCTGAGAGAACTGTGCTTGAGAGAACAGCTCTGACAGAACTATGGCTTGCCCAAGGTCATCCAGCAGCTGCAAGTGGAAGAGTGGGGAATCAAACCTGGTTCTCCCAGACTGGACTCCACGCTCCTAACTACTACCCCAAACTGGCTGTGTTTTATTATTTGCACTACTTACCTATATAAGCCACATCCACATAGTAAGGTGTGGAGATGTTACTGCCCAATGCATTTGTTGCCTTTACAGTCATGTTATATATTGTCCAGACTGAAGTATGCTTTTGATCAAAATAACAGGAATTGGGCCCTCCTGTGACGTAGTCTGGGCATTCATGGTAGGATTCCTCTCTGAAAAAAAAAAAGATTGTGAAGGAAATATAAAAGAAACTGTGTCACATGCTAGTGTTGTTACACTTAGAAATGAGCGATTCACTCTTTAGCTTGAATCATATCTGGTCTGCTAATTACAAAGATTCTTCAGAAGGATACAAAGAATTTTTTTCCGTAAAGTTCAGAGTTAGCTTGTAATATTTGGGGGCATGTACATTCTTCCCCTCCTGCCAACCTAGCAGTTCGAAAGCAAGAAATTGCAAGTAGATAAATAGGTACCACTTCTGTGGGAAGGTAACAGCATTCCGTGCGCCTTGGTGTTGAGTCATGCCGGCCACATGACCACGGAAACGTCTTTGGACAGCGCTGGCTCTTTGGCTTTGAAACGGAGATGAGCACCGCAACCCTAGAGTCAGACTCGACTGGCTTTCGAGCAAGGGAAACCTTTACCTTTACCTTTTTACATTCTTCCCATGCTGCCCAGGAACTGCGGGATGGAGTTTGCTGGTGGCAGCATTTTGCCTAAAGAACTCTGTACCACTTCCAAGATGATGATTACACTGCTGGACTGCAGACAGAATCAGGACATTGTTCTCTAAATTATAGTACCTTTTAAAATAAATACCTCAAGACAATTTCAGTATCCAGAATAAAGTGGTTTTTCATTGACACTGAGGATCAAACTAGATGACAGATTTGATGCATCAGGGTTTGAAAGGTCAAGGTTCCTCCAACCCAACTTGCAGTCATAGATGACATCAGGGAACTCAGGGCTATTTTGGGGCAGGAACGCACAGGAACGGAGTTCCGGCTGGCTTCATGGTTGGCCACGCCCACTACACCCAAAACCTCTGCGTGCGTGGCTACAGAGCGACCCCCACGGCGACTCTGAGACGGGGCCCCCTGGGGCCCCTGGAAGGATCGGGGAGGCATTGAAATGCCTCCCCATGCCTTCCCCTACCTGGGCAAGCCAAGGGAAGGCATGGGGGTGTGGCCTAATACGCTAATGAGTTGCACTGTCAGGGATGTGGTCTGATATGCTAATGAGTTTCTGCTGTTGGGTGTGGTCTATTATGCTAATGAGTTCCTGCTGGGCTTTTTCTACCAAAAAAGCCTTGAGGGAACTAATGTGCCCAAGGTTGCCAGGGCTTGATTCGGCTCGGTAGTGTGGTATGGGAGAAGGAGGGGATTCAGCCTTCCCAGCCATGCCTTTTCCCCAAGCTGAAACAGCCGCAGGGACCCTGTTTGCCCTGTAGGAGGCTTTTTTTTTTGCACAATCTCAACCAGTTTCCCTCCTTACTACAGCTGCTCCACCTGGCCTTTGTCATGCAGGTCCCGTGTTCTCCAGACCAGCTACTTGTAGTGGTCACGGCGTCCCCTCCTCCCCTGTGGACAATAGGACTTCCCGCGTGAGTTTGACAACTGGTGGGAGAATGAGCTGTCCTCATTATGTTGGACGCTGATGCTCTAGCATTCAGCAAAAAAAGCCCTATGGTTTAACCAAAGAATTTGGGCTGAATGTTAGAGCATTGTTGGTGACATAATGAGATCACTCCCACTCACAGTGGAGGTTATGTCATTGTGTCAGGATACAAGCGATCACCGTACCCATCCACACCCCAATTTTTCTCCCGCTGCCCAGCCGAGCAGCAGCAGGAAGGTCTGGCCAGGCTAGAAGATCCCCCATTGTCTGCCAGTAGCATAAATCCATCACATTATTAATTATGAACTGTGTAAGTATTTCAGGATAAGAATCCCCAACCCTAAGGGAGCAAAAAGGAGTATTATGAGCACTGAACTCTGGTGATATAAGTCAACTATCTGTAAATGCGGTCAGCATCCCTAGGATAAATCTGTTCCGAGAGATCGTACAAATTGTACGCTTGTTTATATCATTTATAACTCTTTACCTTTCTTTGGTATAGAGCAGAGTATAATTAGTGGGGAGACCTCCGTCAGAACCGGGCTTCCACCAGCACGTAAAGGTTTCTTTTTCGGGAGACCGACATCTTATCATCTCTGGCTTCCCTGGAGGTTGGCCTAGACACAAAGAGATGGAGAAAGCCATTAGAATGCATCCACATGCTGCTTGGTCACCCACTCAGAAGTCTTGTTTGACGGACTGGTAGGTTCCCTCTCACGTAACTAGGGTGGTTGCAGGAAGCCAAGTCCTAAATACGCCAGGTGGTTTTCTTTCTGAATACAGAACACGTCGAGTTTGGGTTTTAACGCCAACGTGAGGTGGGTAGAGTCTTAGCTATAGAGAACATCCTTGCACACAGAAGGCCCCATGTTCAATGCCCAGCTTCCCCAGCTAAAGAATCATGAGTATGAGGACTGGAAAAGCCACCTGCCCTGTCCCTCACAGAGCCAGCCGGACAAAACTAGCGGGATCAATAATCCGACTCAGTATAAGAGGGGAAGATATAGGAAGCTTCGAAAATACACGGTCAAGGTTCTACAAATGGTTGGAAGAGTACAGCAAATAAACTATGTGGATATACATCGAGATTAGGAGAAAACACGAATTATACTTTTAACAATAATGCAAAAATATTTGCATTAAAATATATGGTGGGAAAAATAAATAATGTACAAGTAGATATCGCATGAGGAAACATATTAGACAAAATAATGGTGTAAATCGAACCCCCCCCCACCACCTGTATGTATTTGTTTGTTTGTTTTTTGTTTGTGGAGTATGAAAAATAAAAATCTTTTTTAAAAATAATAATAATCTGACTCAGTATAAAGCATTTTCATATTTTGAACTTCCTTAAAAGGGAAGCGTTGATAACATAGTGGTAAAGCCATGCCTTGTAGATGCCATGCTGGGCATCTCAGATGCCAAGTGCTGGGGAAGATCTTTCTCTGTATGAGACCTTGGAGAGCAGAATATACAGGGCTGAGCTAGATGATTGGTCAGACTCAGTACAGGGAAACTTCATATGTGTATATAAACTTCTGGCATATATAAGCCATATAAGCCTCGGGCCAGAGCTGTGTCAATGCTAAGAATGCGTGGAAGTAGAGGAAATATATTAAATTAAATACTGTTTGCAGAATCCTTCCTTCCTTCCTTCCTTCCTTCCTTCCTTCCTTCCTTCCTTCCTTTCCTTCCTTTCCTCCCTCCCTCCCTCCCTCCCTCCCTCCCTGTTACTAGTATAGATGGGAATCTCTGCCATGAATACAGCTCCAGACACACATGAGAAGACATGGAGCTGAACAAGGATTTAAGCAGAGTCGTAGATTGAATAGGCTCATTCACTTTGATCACTGGCTTCTGATGAAATGCTCACAAGGCTGCAGCAAGATCGAGATGGGTAGCCATGTTTGTCTGTGTAATGTATTCAGAAGCTGCCATGAATGCATTAAGATGTATGTGAAACATCTCATAGGGAAGCAATGTTAAGCTTCGTCTTGGGCAGGGATTCAAGCCCAAGGCAAATGTGTCCAATCACGTTCAAGCAAACTGTAAGCGGGAACGAAGGCGATTGGCTCTTATACGCTCAACCGTATTGGTTGCTATGTGTACAGTGGGCGTGGCTATATTAGCCGGGAAATGTTTAAATACCGAGCAGCTACTATGGACAAGCTGTTCGGGCTATCAGATGTTGTACCGTGTTGGAGAAGTGTTCGTGTTGAAGATTAAACTTGAGTTTTTGCTGAAATCACTCTCTGACTATTTGTTAAGCGCTGGACAAACAGTCTGTCTGTAGCAGCAGAAAAGACTGAGAGCCCAGGAGCACCTTAAAGACTAACAAAATTTGTGGCAGGGTGTGAGCTTTCATGAGTCACCGATCACTTCTTCAGATATTCAGTCTCTGAAGAAGTGAGCAGTGACTCACAAAAGCCACACATTTTGTTAGCCTTTAAAGCTGCAGAAAGTTAATAATATGAGGCTACCAGAACTGGAAGTGAATTTTCATTAAGAGCCAGCCTGACCATATGGGTCAATCATGCACCTGCTTATTCACTCTGGCGAGGTGCTCTGCCCTCCCTCCTGCGGTACTTGAAGGAAAATACAAGAATATTCCTTTCACAGAAAGGCTTTGTACCTGCCCATTAAGGGAGGTTGAGACTACAGAGCACATGTTTTTTAGATGCTCATATTATGAGGTGGCACGTAATAAAATCATCACTCCGCTGATTGATCAAATCCCGGGCCTTTCCGAAAAAGCCAGACTCGAGTTTCTTCTATCTGACAGAAATCCCAAGATTACCCACCACCAAGTAGCCAGTTTCTGTATGGTGATACTCAGATTACGGAAATTCTAAGGTAGATGTGGCAGTTTGATCCATCGAAGTCTCCCCCCCCCCAAACCTCAACCTCCTCAGGCTCCACCCCACAAAATCTCCCAACCAAAGCTGGCAACCCTAGGTGAAGACAATCATTTTCAAAACTCCATAGTGTTCGTATGATCCTGTCTACTTCCTGATTGCTATCTCAGAATTTTTTTAGCGAATGCAGTATGTCGGGGGTTAGGAGCACCTCTAAATCCCACTGGTGGTGGGACTGAGCCACAGGGGGGCAGCTGGTCATCCAACTAGGTGACCACATTCTGGCCACAATGAGAACACTGCCCACCACCATGCTGGGTGCTAGCAACAAAGATGCCACCAAGCTGATTGACAAGGATAGAGAATCCTTGTCTGCCAGATGAGTGGGCTGTTATGGGGTTAAAACAGGGAAGGGTAAGGCTTGACCTATCAGCCAATTGGGAGCTGCGCTGGCTCAAGTGGTTAAGACGCTGAACTGCAGGCTGGAAGGTCAGTCGTTCGGCAGTTCGAGACCCAAGTGCCGCATGACAGAGTGAGCTCCTGTCTCTGGTTCCAGCTCCTGCCAACCTAGCAGTTTTAAAGCAAGAAATTGCAAGTAGATAAATAGGTAGGGGACGGAAGCACCACGCTTCCCAGATGTTGTGGTGTGATCGCGCTGGTTTGATCCGCCCCCGAACTGTCCCGCTACTGGCCCAAATCCCCTCGTGTGAACGGGACCGGAGATGAGCACTGACACCCTAGATTCGGATTCGACTGGCTTTCGAACAAGGGAAACCTCTACCTTTACCCTATCAGCCAATTAGCTCTCCAGCTCTTGGGGGAAGACCCACCTTCTCACAAGAGTCAAAGAGTTGTGAGACCTACCCCTTCTCTAGGTTTGCCTTTAAAAGCAAGAGAGAGGCCCGAAAGCAAAGGCCAGCTATTGCCTGGGTCAGTGAAAGAGCAAGCAGAGGGAGATTAAAAGGACAGGGTGAATTTCAAACCTAACCCTCTTTATAGAGTTGAGGCTTTAAAAGGGCAGGCAAGCGGCCCACCTGGCAGGGAGATGGGCTAGTGGAGGAAAGCTGGAGCACCAAATGTGACACAGCAAATACGTTACAAGATGGCAGTCTGTCGGCAGACATAAGCAAATTAATGCTATGGGTGTTTTGCAGAATGGTGACAAACAAAGGGGTGTTGGAAGGTGGAGGACAAGCATTGCACCGGGAGGCCTTTCCCGTGCACCTGCTGGTCACTCAACTCTGGACCACTAAGGAAGTGTCTAAAGTTCAGCTGGTCGGGTGCAAAGAATCAGTAGGGCTTGATGTGTCCTGTGGATTGCCTACTAAGGGAGTGGCTGACGCAGAATAAAAATCAACCCTGACGCACTTGATCCATTCATCCCCAAGGCCTATTGTATCATCCGAATGCCCATTCTTACCTAAAATCACCACTGAATTCGAGAAGAACATGAAGACACTCAAACCACATTCAAAAATCTCTGTGTGGGTCTTACTGCTAGCTGTTTTGGGACTGTTTTGAATACTACTTTACACAGAGAGTGATTAAAATGCGGCATTCACTGCCAGAGGATGTAGTGATGGCCATGGGAATAAATAGCTTTAAAAGGAAAGTAGATAGATTCATGGAGGATAAGTCTATCAATGACTACAAGCCATGGTGACCAAGGGGAACCTCCATATTCAAAGGCACTAATCTGAATCCCAAGAGCCAGGAGGCAGCATCAGGAGAAGGCCTCAGCCTCTATCCGCTGTTGTTGGCCATCCAGAGGAACTAGTTGGCTACTGTGTGAGACAGGATGCTGGACGAGATGGACCATTTGACTGATCCAGCAGGGCTCTTCTGATGTTCTTATGTTCATCAGGATCTTATTTTCCAAATGGGCAATAAATTTCGGTACTTACCATTAACCAAACAGGTGTTCAGAGAAAACAGCAGTATAAATATTGATGACAACTCATCAGACGTCATGCTGGCCTCCTCCACCTCCTTGTTTCCACCTCCAGCAAGGAACAAAAGCTCACAGGCTCACTGGGAAGTAAGTTAACAAGCAACATTTAATAAACATCTCTGATACACACTCCATAGGTCATGCTTTCAAAGCCTTTGGTTAATGAATCCTTTTCACGCACACCAGATGGTGCCATAGGCTGTATAATCCTCAATGTTCTAAAGAGAGAAGCCAGTGAGGGCACTTAAGTCTAAGGTTAAAGAGTCCACTCAAGGTTAAATATAACTGCTATGCATATAGTGTTTCAGGACACAATGAAACTTTTCTATTAATGAATAATCAGTTTTGTTTTAGGAAGGCAGAAGGAAAAGCAAGGCAGCAAAGTATAGAATGGCTTAATGTTTAACTAGGTTTCGTTTACATGAATGGAAATGGGGGCAGTTCTGTTGGAGCCGGCAGTACTGAGGTGATACATGATTTGCAAAAACAGAGGCCGCATTCAGACTGGCAGTTTGGCCCGGCAGGCAAACGTTTCAGGAGCGTTTCATTAGTGGATTAAAGGGGCGGGTTCATACAGGCACATTTTTCAGGCGTCCCCCAGCCGTACTCAAGCCGTCTTGTGCCGCTTCCCTCCCGAGTTTAAAAGATACCTGGTGGAAGTGGTAGCAAATCGTGTGGAGCGCGGGTTGATTCCGGTTCCCTGAGTGTGAACGCAAGCGCTGCTAAGGCGGGAACAACCCGCAGTTGATAATAGGCACCAGCGGGTTCTGCGGCAGGTGCAGGTGCGCACGACCGGGATGCTCCGGCGTGCTGAGTAAAAGCTCCACCCAGCCAGTTGCCCAGGAGACAAACCGGCAACATGGTGGCAGCGCAAGGACTCTCCTGGAGAAGGTCACACATTGGCACTAGTGGAAGTGTGGAGTCAATCCTGCCCTATTTGCTGCTGCACCCATGCGCATAGGCGCATGCAGCTGAGCACGGAAAACACGCTAACAGTGCGAACACTCCCTTGCGCTTCCTCCACGGTATCCTCCCACTTCATTTGCTGCAGTGTGAACGGGAATACCGGGAACAAGCCATTCCAGGTCTATTCCAGGTTTTCTTTGCCACGACTCCCTAGCGCTTCAAATTGCCAGTCTGAACTTGGCCAGAAGTGGAAAGGCATATGGAATCTGTTTTCTGGTATAGAAGTTAGATGAGGTAGGGGGTAGCATTACTGAATTTTACCTGAACTGACTCTTTATTCGGTGCTTCCCAAATAAAACTCCAGGGTTATTGATAGGGATATCAACCTCCAGGTAGAACATGGGGATCTCCCGGAATTACATCTCATCTCTGGACTACAGGGATCAGTTCTCCAGGAGAAAATGGCTGCTAAAGAAGGTGGACTCTGTTGGGTTAAATGTTTTTAAAAAGTCATTTGCCCTGGAAGAACAGAAGCTTTACGCAGTACGCCCGTTTCTCCACATTTCCCGGTTAAGGGAAAAATGCTGTTTGGACAAATTACAAAGATGACCTGATTCCAATGGTAACAAGAGAAAGAAATTTTACTTGCAAAAATGGAAGCACATCTTACGTGACATATTCATGTAGGTACATTTAACTTATTGCGAACAGATTGACTTCAGAAAGGTTAACCTGCTGCAGCTCCAAGCCCAGGTAAGAGAGAGAAGAAGA